AAAGGTAGAATTGCATTAAAAGTGTTGGTTTGATGTAAAGTTGTTATTTAATTTCATTTTCAATTAATAATCTTTTAAAAATGTTAAATTATAATTATAACAATTATTTTGTTGGATATTCTGTATAATAATTTATTCCAAATGAATAATTTCGNGATAAATGATGCTCTACTGTATATTATGTTAGCGTAAAACAGTATTTAGGCTTGTAAATATGAATTCTCTATAAATTATCCAATCAATTCTTTTAACTCTTGGTGTGTTGCATGGCATCTCACAGTAAAAACTCTGAAAAAATTCTACCTTTCCAACTTTTCATCCTGTATGACATACAACTGATGCCAGCATTTTTTTCCTGGAAAAGTATTTATTCACTGAAAATGGTATCTGAGATACCACACAACACAAGGAGTACAGTAACCATTGCAAGAGAAATCTATGAGCATTAGGCTCATGACAGTTGCTTTGAATAAGCACAATAGCAATGTAAAATAAATTTATTCTTATAAAAATACTGTTCCTTGTATTCTCTACTATTTCTTCATTGCTGCACAACAAAAAACAAGTTCCAATTAATTTTGAATAGGAGAGCTGTGTTACATGCAACAAAAATTAAAAGAAAAAAATTCATTCTAACACCATAAACTGTTCAAATTGTAAAATTTTTTGTAATTTTTTTCGTCCGATGGTTCTTTTTATTTTTTAATAATATTTGAAGACAAGTTCGCCCATATAGGGATCACCATTTTTTGCATAAGACAATACATTTCCGGCGACCGACCTTTCTTTCTAGCCTATTGTCTAACGCAAAAAATGGTGATCCCTATATGGGCGAACTTGTCTTCAAATATTATTAAAAAATGTAAAATTTTTGTTCATTTTGCAATAGTGTTATTTAGACATCATGACAAATGCATTTATTTGATAAAATTTTCATAATTTTTTTAAGTGATAAAGCTAGTGATTTATGTAGTCAACATAACATCATGTAATTTCTTTCTAAAGTTTTGATGGTCCATGCATTATTTCTATTTCTTCATTTCTCATACATGAAACATTCGAGGTTAAACAGTCATCAAAATGTTCTGATATTTCTTGTAATATTTTCAACAATATTAGTTTTTGAATTATGATAATCTATTTTTGATAACTGCATAAATAAAAATTATCATTTAACAATCCTTTTTGTCAGAATTGTTTTAATTTTAAGAAAACATTCTTTGGAATAAAATAAAACAAAAATATTGTAATTTGAACCATTTACAAATGGGATGGAAGCTTTTGTTTACAGGGTAATAAAACACTTATGGTGTTTTAACATTTGCAGTGGAGTCAGTGCTGACTCTGCTGCTAATTCCCTTTAAGTCTGGCACAAATTAGTCAACATGGTTGCTTTCAATATGACATCAGAGATGGTTTTTATGGTCATGTCACTTTTTCTTTAATGATCTGTTTACCTTGTGATATTGCTCCAGAAGTACATCATGAGCAATATCACAAAGTAAACAGATCATTAAAGAAAAAGTGACATGACCATAAAAACCATCTCTGATGTCATATTGAAAGCAACCATGTTGACTAATTTGTGCCAGACTTAAAGGGAATTAGCAGCAGAGTCAGCACTGACTCCACTGCAAATGTTAAAACACCATAAGTGTTTTATTACCCTGTAAACAAAAGCTTCCATCCCATTTGTAAATGGTTCAAATTACAATATTTTTGTTTTATTTTATTCCAAAGAATGTTTTCTTAAAATTAAAACAATTCTGACAAAAAGGATTGTTAAATGATAATTTTTATTTATGCAGTTATCAAAAATAGATTATCATAATTCAAAAACTAATATTGTTGAAAANGGTGTCCAACCTTTTTGTTCTTCTGGGCCACATTGGAAGTCATGGAGTTTTGGGCCACAAGTATATATATTTGTGATCCAATCCTTAAATATACTTGTATATTTAAGGATTAACATGTCTAGATTATAGTAATAAGTATTAAAACTTTATCATGAAAAAGGATATTTTTAAAAATTACTTCTACAGACCCTTCCAATTTTTACTTAAAAATAGATAAATTCATTTATTATAAAAGAGACAAACGAAAATTTATTTAAAAAACACAAGTATTTGTTTAATTTGGGTCTCTAATTAATATAAATAAAAAAACGACGAAACATCATTTTAAAGTGCATTTTTATTCGACTAATATATTTATAAGTAATATGTAGCCCAGAAAGTAGCCAATGCGCAAAATGATCATTTTTACGCCAAACTAAAAAAAGGGTAGCCAAATCTTGCAATGCTGGAAAGAATACTAAATAATGCTGGAGTTGGAACTGAAAGGATTATAGACCCAAATTTGAGAAAAGGAGAGAAAGGCCAAAAGATAAAAAGTAGTGAGAAAGGTTAAATAGATCTTCTGTTATGCAAATATTGACCCTTAATTTTCCAACCTTCCTCATTACTTTTTATCTTTTGGCCTTTCTCTCAAATTTGGGTCTATAATCCTTTGAGTCACAACTTCAGCTTTATTTTGTATTCCTTCCTCATTCACACATCTTCAAGTATTTGAAAATATTTCCTTTTCACTCAAAAATAAAATATGTATAAAAGTTTATGGCTTTGTGAAACTTCTTTTTTGAGTTTATGCCGGTGAAATAAAAAAATAAAACAATTTGTCAGTTTTGTTTACACATTTATTGAGCTGCATTAGAACTTGCCTTGGACACCCGTGATTTAAATGAATCAATCATTGAATTACAGTTTTTTATAAATGTTAAAGCCAATGTAGGCTTGAACATTTAGAGAAAACTTTGACAAGATGAAGGCAGTTGCAGCGTTTCTCTGTAAGAATGGAATATATAACAATAATTTAAGGGTTAATGTTACCCTAGGTATCGAAGTGGCGGTGCTTACGGTATTCTCATATCAGATTACCAAGTGATGTTTGTGATAGAGGGTGCTGTAACGCAGTGTGATATGCAAATTAATACGACTAAATGGACGAGGGGAGCATTAAAGGTAGAATTGCATTAAAAGTGTTGGTTTGATGTAAAGTTGTTATTTAATTTCATTTTCAATTAATAATCTTTTAAAAATGTTAAATTATAATTATAACAATTATTTTGTTGGATATTCTGTATAATAATTTATTCCAAATGAATAATTTTGACATTAACTCCGAAGAGTTTTTGCTAGGATGCACTTTCCATGATTTTTTGTCTTCTCGAATACGAGTATTCTGAATTGGGTTTGGATCCCAGAATTGATAAAGGGTTCAAATTTGCAGTAAAACTAGGATTACAGCATGTTGTCGATGTATGCTCGAAATGTTCAAAACCTTGCAAAGTAGTTTATCATAATGATAGAAAATCCTGTGCAATGAGATGTCAAAAATGCTGAAACAACAGTTCAGCATTTGATGATACTTTTAAAGATAAATATGATAAAATTCCCTGGAGTAGCATATTGTTGTATATGGCATTATGTATTAGCATTGGAATGTGCAACAATAACAACAGCTAATGCTGCCGGAATTTCTAATAAGGCCACTGTTGACTGGTCGAACCATGTCCGATTCGTGATGCTAGTCGCTTTGCACAATATCCTATCATTTAAAATTGGAGGTACGAATAAAACCGTTGAAATAGACGAGACCATAAGCACAAAGCTTACGGTCTCGTCTATTACGGACCAAGATTTGTGTAAGCACAAATACAAAAAAGCCCATAAACTTAAAGGCAGAAAGTGGGTAGTGGGCGGAATATGCCAAGAAGATAAAAGCTGTTTTATATGTCAAGCGAACAATAGATTGGAAATAATGCTTAATTGGATCATCTCTAAATTTGTAAATTCAGGCAGCACAGTTTTGACAGATGAATGGAAAGGATACAACCATATAGATGACTTGGAAGGCATAGAAATTACGCATAAGACAGTTAATCATTTGGAGAATTTCGTGAACCCAAAAATGGGTTCATACCCAAAACATAGAAAGATTATGGGGATACTTGAAAAACAAAAAAAAAAAAAACCTACTGAAACATTACACAGAAGACCTATCAGATTCGTATATGTACTCCTTTATGTATAAAAAATACCATGATTGGCCCTCAAAAATACCAGGTGAACATTTCTACATTTTTGTGCAACATTTAAGTAAGATATATCCTGGATCCGGAAGATTACCATTATGGAAAGAGCCTGAGACTGCACCTGCTGCTCCTGTTAATAAAAATAAGAAGAAAGAAAATGCAGCGAAACAAAAAAAAAAACATCTGAGAAAACTGATAAGAATCGGAGTAAAAAACGAATGTCAAATAGTATGAGTTGACTTCGGTTATAACCAAAAGTAGGAAAAAAGAGAAACATTTAAATTGAACATAAGTAAAATTATAGTTTAACATAATTTAATTTTAGTAATAATGCCCAATTTTAAAAAAATTGATATTTTGTAATTACCGAATTCACGGATATTTATTTAGTTAACTACGCATTCAAAAATCGTTTTCAAAATGGTGAAAATGGTTAATGTAGACGGTTGCCATCTTCAATACCTAGGGTAACATTAACTGTTACATAAATTTTGTAGATTAGGACCCCATTTTCTGGGGATTTTTTGTAGTTTTCGTGGTCTTATAGAGAGAAACAGAATCAAAAGTAATGCCTACAAACTAAACTATTCAAAATTTTTAGTAATGAATATAGTCAAGGATCCCAATTTAGAGAAGAGATCCTTACATAAAATCTTCACTATTTTAAAACTATTTAATAGATTAACGCCAGGTGGCGTCAAGTTTAAACAGCGCTTTGCTTTTGTTCTGGTTTTATTTTCATATTTAATATATTTTCCACCTCTTTAATGACACTTGATTATCTTATTTTGGCTTCTTAACCTTTGTTGTGCATGTGAGTACCAATTTCTGTTTTTACTTCGTTGCTAGTCAACCTTACTGTCGACCACGTGGCTTGGTGAGTTAGCTAAGCCTAATCTGCAGCACGATGCCGGGGCGCAAATCGAAAGCCACCCCAGAAAACGTGTCTGCAACTTTAAATGAAATATCGAAACTAGGATTTACGGAAGTCATCAACCAACTTAAAAGTATTTATCAGCCCATAGTGAATAAACGCCCACTTAACCAACAAGAAAGTTACACAATAGATCAGTTAATACAAAGAATAACTGACATTCATTTATGCTGTTTAGACAAATACAATGTGGTACAAGAAGATATAGTTAAACTACAAGAGGATAAAATTCAGCATCAATCACAACTAAAATCATATGCAAATGCTGTCAAAGCTTCAAGAGTAAAAGTTCATAACCAGCCTGGCCAAGCACAAAAAAGGGAGACATTAATATTAACTCCAGGGATTAAAAACTCGCAAGTGGACAGAAATACTGTCAGAAGTCACTTAGAAGCTGTTCTAAAACCAGCAGCCAATGGTATCAGGATCGACTCCTGTCTAGTGCAGAAAGATGGGAAAGTCAGCCTACAATTATCCAACACTGCCAGTGTCGATAAAATTATTAATCTCATCAATAACAATCATGACTCTGAATTCAAATTTTCGGCAAGCAAGAAAACTAAGAGAAAGCCTTTAGTTCAAATCCACCATGTGTGCTCTAACTTAAATAAAGAGGAGTTGATTAACACTGTCACTGCACAGAATGACAACTTAAAAAATATACTAGAAGAAAAAGATCAAATACTACAACCACTATTCTCCTTCAGATCCAAGGCAGACTCTGCTCAGGAAAAAACATGGGTTTTCTTGACCTCACCTCAAGTTCATCAAAGTTTACTGAAAAACAGAAGGGTGTATATAGGACTTAGATCTCATCAAGTCCTCAACTACTTAGGAATCAAACAATGCTACAACTGCTGCAAATTTGGTCACATTGCTTCAAAATGTGTACCGGAACAACCTGCCTGCTCACACTGTGGAGTAGAGGGTCACAGCTATAGAACCTGTGTGGAAAAGACCAAGTCGTCTGTTATTAAGTGCATCAATTGTATCCGATGGGCTAAACGACTAAAAATGAATGTTCAAAATATTTCTCACAAAGCCACTGACCCAGAATGTCCTGTATATTTAAAAGTAAAATCAAAACTTATTGAAAATACGGACTATGGAGAGGCCACATACCAAGAAACATATTAAAATTGTTCAATTTAATGTCAATCACTCCAAAGCAGTCACAGGTAATCTGGCAAATTACTTAATAGTTAACGACATAGATATTGCTCTTTTACAGGATCCCTACGTATACAATTCTAAAATTGTTGGCTTTCCTAGGGGTTTCAAGATTATCTCTGCAGCCGTCCCTAATCCCCTAGCTTGCATTATTATATGCAACCCAAATATCCCCATACTGCAGCTTACCCAGCTATGTAATGAGTTCTGCACCGTAATATCTATTACTCTGGATACTGTTATGTTCTTATCATCAGTTTACTGCTATCCCAGCTTGCCTCTGAATGATGCTATCTCTTTTTTGGAGGAAACCTACAAAACAATTGATAAAAATAGGCTGCTGATTGGTGTTGACTCCAATGCCCGTAATCCACTATGGCATGACATCATAGAAAATAGCAGGGGTACCCTTTTTGAAGAATTCCTAGATAGACATGTCTTTACTGTGATAAATGAGCCAAGTGAACCTACTTATGACTCCATTCTGGGCAAAAGCTGGATTGATTTAACTATCACTGGCTCCTCTCTGACTAAAAACATCACTTGCTGGTCTCTGATTGACCAGGAAATGCTATCTGATCACAGAGCCATCTCCTTTTGCATTGAACAGCAGCACAGGCTTTGCCTCACAAAAAGTAACTCCTTCAATTTGAGAAAGGCAAACTGGCAAATGTTTCAGGATCTAATCCAAGTAGAACTGGATAATTTTAGTACACAAACCTTTCTTAACACTGAAGAGGAAATTGACAAATGGGTGTCAAAGCTAAATGATATTCTGAAAAGTGCAGCAGAAAAAGCCATTCCCAGAAAAGTCCCCCTAAAGAAGGCTGTGCCGTGGTGGACCCCAACATTAACATCCCTGAGAAAACAGGTCAATTCTCTTAGGCGCAAATTTCAAAGACAGAAAAATCCCCTATTGAGAGTCAATCAAGAAATTGAATACAGGTCAGCAAAAAAGAAATATATCAGAGAAATGAAGTCAGAAAAGCTGAAATCTTGGCAAAACTATTGCAATACAAGGGGAAATATTGATCCATGGAAAAACATTTACAGGATTCTAAACAGGAGCAACACGGATCATACACTTCAGGCACACATAGATAACTCCCAACATAGCTATGATATCAATTCTGCTTTATCAGCCCTGGCTGCACAACTCTTCCCTGGAGACAATAACACGGATGACTCCTCTGAACATAAATCCATCAGAACAAATTGGCTAAGTGTGCATTCAGCCCCAACTGAAATAGATCACTACTTTTCCACCTTTGAACTCAAGAAAGCACTTTTCTCCATGGGACCTCATAAGGCTCCAGGAGGTGATGAGATCTATGCCAAAATGCTTCAGGTGTGTTTCAACATTTTAGAACCTTTTCTTCTCAGTCTGTACAACTCCTGCCTAAGTCTTTCTTACTTTCCTGCTCACTGGAAAATTGCCAATGTCATCCTTATCAAAAAACCAAGAACTGAAAATACCGACCCCTCCAAGTTGTATAGACCAATTAGCCTTCTTCCAGTAATGGGCAAGGTTTTTGAAAAAATGATTTTGGGCCGTCTTGAGTGGCATGCTAATAAGCATCACTGGCTCGACCCAAACCAGTATGGCTTCAGAAAAAGCAGAAGTGCTGAGGATGCTGTCTATGCCTTGACACAATTCATAGAAGAGGGACTGAGTAACAAAGTTTATACCGCAGCTATCTTTTTGGACATTAAAGGTGCCTTCGACAACTGCTGGCACCCAAGCATTATCAACGAGCTCTCCCAACTAGACTGTCCCAACTATCTTGTCAAGCTGGTCTCCTCCTTTTTAACTAACAGGAAAATAAATCTGTCTTATCATCATCACTCTGTTAGTAAACTCCTAACAAAATCTTGCCCTCAAGGTGGTGTTTTATCTCCTTTCTTATGGAACCTAGTGGTTAACTCCTTTCTGAAAACCAAATGTGACAAAGCAATAAGTGTGCAAGCCTATGCCGACGACCTTGTCATTGTGTGTCAGCATAGGGACACTGCTTTTTTGGAAAGTAAGCTAAACGAAATGTTGAGTAAAGCTTCCAAATGGGCCTATCTTAATAAACTCCAGTTCTGTACTTACAAGACCAAAGCTATGCTTTTCACAAACAAATACAAATTTTCATACCCCAAGCTTTTATTAGATGGTGACTCAATCGAATGGGTAGACCGGCAAAAGTACCTGGGAGTAATCCTTGATACTAAACTTACATATAGTTACCACATTGATTATATCTTGGCTAAAGCCAAGAAAATAAACTACATGCTGCAAAAATGTGCTAGATGCACCTGGGGACTAAATCACAAAGCTTATAAAACTCTGTATAATGGGGCAATACTACCAATGATACTTTATGCGGCTTCTAGCTGGGGTCATGTAACGAGTAAAGTTACAATTGCAAGTAAATTACTCTCTCTCCAAAGACAGTTTGCCATCAAAATTTCAAAGTGCTGCAGGACTGTTTCTACAAATGCCTCTCTGATTCTAGCAGAGCTCCTTCCTTTACCACTCTGTATTGAAGAAAAAGTTCTTCA